GAGGACAAAACGCAAAGCCCTTGAAACTGCAACAGGTATGTAAACTCAAACTCTCCAATTCATATGCATAGATTATACGGCTGGCAGATTATCTGTGCCAAAGATGCAGAGACCTCCAGGCTTGCTCCCTCAGAGTTTAACAGTTTTCATTAGATACTTGGACATCCAACACAAGATGGTGAAAACACTACAAAGCACCTCTATCTATCTCTGTCTACCTATGTCTAGATCTCTAGACAACCTCCTCTCATGGTGCAGACTTCAGAATAAAGTAGGATCATGAGTGCCGAGTTGCCTTTTGCTTTCCTCCCTTTTCTGCCTTGACACAGTTCATGCCCTCCTTTAAGACCCAACGACTCTCACCAGCCTCACTAACACAGCAGCTCTGCCCTCTCACTGAGAGCAGAGCAGAGAAAGCCAGGAGGGGGATTCAGGCTGCTGTCAATTCCCCACCTTTGCATGGTGACAAAGCGCAGCTATGCAAGTAGGCATCAGGCCAGCACAGGCAAAAAACACAGCAAAAGCCAGTTTCGGTGGGATGACAGTTTAGAATCATGATACTGCACCCACATGGTGTATGTGAGCCAGTAAGCACTGCACATCTAACACTGAAGCCTAGGTCACAACCCATTATCAGAAAAAAACAAAACCCACAATCAACCAAACCCCAAACAAAAATACCACGGTCAAAAAAATCCCTGGGAAGTCCTGCTTGAATCCATCTGATTCATTCTGCAGGTCCAGCCTGTCTAAACCTAGCCCCAGGCTCAGCACCAAGACAGCGCTGGGCTGACTTTGTGCAGAGCCATTTGAATCTGTCTACACTGCTCTCCCCGGCTTCCATAATATTATCAGCTACCCCAATGGTTTGGTGTATGCCATGCTATCTGAACTCCAGAATAAGCAGGTATTGACACTAATTATAAGATGACTTCATGCATTTCCAGAAATTTTTAGACACGAGCCCAGGAAGGTAATGACTTTTTCCCTTCATCATCTTTTAACCAATACACCCATTTCCAAAGCTCAAAAGAATTGTTTAGCCTTTTTTCACAGTTAACCAAATCTCTACAGATAGAGCATGGAAAAAATATTATCATTTTGGTAGCGATACAGAGAGGAAGAAAAAAAAGATTCTTTGGTCAGAACTGATGGATTGTGTGATTTAAACTACTGGCTTTTTTATTTACTCTCCTGTTAAATCGCTGAAGATTTTCTAAGTACATATTGCCTAAATTAAGTTTCACATGACCAGCAGATTAGAGATCTGTTCAGCTACCAAAGCATGCTCATCATCTCGGTAAGAAGGTAAAGAACAGCATTGCTCCCACCAGACCTCTACAAAGAGGAGAAATTCTACATATTAAATCTGAGCAGGCCATGTGTACACGGCACAAAAGAAATGCTGATAACGTATGACACTATTTCTTCTTGGCAGTTCAAACATTTCTAAACAGGAATGTGATAACCCAGAAAAAACACAACTTCTGCCCCTCAAAAACCCAGGACTGGTTTAGATACAATTTAGAAAGAAAGGCAAGAAAATACAGGCCTGATTCTGTCAGTAAGGCAAGAAAGAGCTTACACGCATTAAAAGATAAAATATTGCATACTCTGAATGTTTGCAGGATTTTTCTTCTTTAACAAGAACACTTCAATATGGCCACTTAACTTTTGCTAAGCCCTACAGTAAGAACAAGCATTACATTTTTCCATAATATTTTCAGTAAAATAATGACTTCATTATGTTTTATGACATATAAAGAAGGCTTAAAAATGGCCATGAGTTTTTACTGTTTATTTCCCCCACTCATGTATCAGAAATACCAAGTCTAGTCTTCACCGGTTATAAAGGATGCCTGTGAAAGTTTTAGGGCATGGTTGCTTATGCCTCTCCACAACTGATGAAAAGCAGCTGTGTTGAATCTAAAAATCCTCCTTTATCAGAACTGTTATATACTGAAGTTCAAGATATTAATTCTTCAAACCATGCAAAAAATACAGCTCTCCCCCTAAAAACACTGGAGATTTCATTTGTTTGATTCTGGAGATTTCATTTGTTTGATCCTGAGTCATCACTAGGCCCACAGAGTCTTAATGTTTCAAAGCTGCAAGTCTTTATTTTTCCACACAAAAGGCAAGAAGAAAAAACCCCATCCATTTGAAAATCCTCTTTAGTCATGATAAAAATGGCCATAACACTATTACAGTAACAACAGTAGTAACATTTTCCATCAGTTCTGACCGAAGAATTTTAACAATTCTTACAAAGAAACAGAGGTCATTACAGCTACATAGCCTGCCTTTATCGCCTCCCTACCACAGTCAGGCATCCATGACGCTGGTTAAAATTAGGGCAACACAGATGTACCCAACCTGAAGAAGTGTTCTAGCTAAGAAATATCTCGTTTATGGAAAAAAATTGGCTAACTGAAGTCTGAAGAACAAGCAAAACCACAGCACAAGCAATAAACAGAAAAGTATGTTTACCTTCCTGATTTGGTAGCACATTTACACAGAACCAGAAATGGTCAGGAGGAGCGATGTGAAGGTTGTTACGAATACCTACCAGCTGTTACCACAGCAAGATTTTTTCCACAAGTTCACTATTACAGCTCTTCCACCATAAGCCATCTACAGGCAAATGAAAAGTTTCTCATGATACCTGTTCAAGTACTTCCTTCTCAGCAGAAACATTTACACCAAAGTACACTTGTAACTGGTAGTTACATTTCTCTGAACTAGCAAAACTGGATTTGTTTTTCCCAAAACTAAGTTTAATACATATCCTGTAAGCATTGCTATCACTCGTTAAACAAATAACACTTCCTACATTTAAGAACTGAAGAAAATTGAAGTTTCACAGAAAAAAAAAAAGGACTGCAGATGTATCATTACTTATAAGGCAGTTATCACAAATGCTACTTTCTTTTCTTTTTTGTGGTCATTCCTTCTGCTTCAGAAAGAGGTTTAAAATTATTACATCTCAAACGAAAGCCTATAAAAACGTACTGAAAGATACAACATGCTTAAAAAGAGTCTTCTTAGTTTCACAAGCTTTTCTTGTTTCTCTTTTATGAAGAGCTGAGAAATTAAAATTAGCATTTGAAAGTATTCAAAAGATTGTTTAAACTTCTCACTTAGGTGTCAGATTCCACAGGTGCAATTTCTCATTAAGTACAGTGAAACCTTCCTGAAATCAAACTTGCTAGGCAACCTCTGTTCTCAACATTATAAAGCAAATCAGTAACTAATCAACTAAAATATAGAGTCTAAGACGAACATGGAAAGAACACACTGCATATCTGTTCTCTTACCTTACATATTGAAGGTATCAAGGTTTTATCATTTCTGGTTAAGAGCCTTAATAAAAAGAGCACATAAAATGCACTGCTGGGAACACCTGAGCACCGGGACTAAGTGTCAGGATTTCTTCTTGCAATAAAGCTAATAATTCTTGAAATAGAAAACATTATGCTGTCAAACTAAACTGCTTGCAAGACAAATATTATTACAGCAGAATGCTTTTTTCACAGGATTATTAAAATTGCAGTTTAAATTGACTTGTAACAATGTAAGCCTTAGGGAAACATCTATTTTTACACCTATTCTGACTTTCACTGGACCAGAACTCCTTATTTACTGCTAATTCACAAAAGTGAATACATTATCAGTCAGTCTGCTGACTAATATCTATACAAAACAGAATCTCTCAAGAAGTACTCTGAATTGAACCAGATGAAGTGTAATTTCTCACTAGACAAATTCTGCAGGTATATACAGCATCCCTCATGATCTTTGCACTCAAATGGCAAATTGAGATAATTCCTCAACTTCTAACTCTCCCCTAATTTAAAAAAAAAAAAGGAAAGAGAAACTATGGTTTCTCATAAGCACTCAATCTTCAAAATTAGTACATGAGTATCTTACCTTTAACACGAAAGGCAGTACCACTAAACAACAACAACAAAAAAGAAAACCCACACACTCAATAAATACACAAACTAAACCCAAAGTAATTCAGAACCTCACTGTCTAAAGCAAAACACATGCCTCGAGTCCTCTTGTGTTCCAAGCTTCCCCTGTTCTATTTAACTTTCCTTATAAACATAGGGGAAGATGTTAATTCTAAGTATGTAGTATTTTGTATCTCAACATAGAACAAACATCTTCATGCTTACAGCTTCTCTAAAATAAATTTACCAGTAATAATATAAATGACAGCTTCAGGAGATGAGGAAAACACGTTGAAATCGGTGTTACCACCCATTGCAGATAGCAGTTTCTGAAATACTTACAAAGCTTTTCAACTTACAGGCCTCTAAGAACACGATAAGAAAGAAGAGACACTAAAAACAAAAGTAGTTATATTTTGCACTGCAATATAGATTCGTGCCATCTGTGCAAAGTAAGAAGACTAATTATTTTAGAACATCCTGTTCTGAATTATTTTGCTGACTTTTTCAAGTCAATACATACTTATCGATGCAGAAATCTTCGTGAAAGCCATGGTAATATTAGCAACAAAAGAAATGAAATTTGGCAGAGTGCAAAGTAAAATTATCAGTCTACTGGGCAAAATTTTTGACAGTTTACCTGTATTGTTTATCAGTGACCATCCTTCAGCATTATCTAGAGGAGCAACCTTTTTTTACTTTACAGTCCACGATTCTTCATACTGAACAACACACCCCAGGTGTCTCCCAAATAAAGACTATCAATTGCTTTAAAGTACACTAGACAAAATTTATCTACTTACTTTGTTTAGTTGTCAGTTTTGTTAAAACAGAGTTATGACTCTAGTTCCTTGAATAACTCCAGTCACATTTGGATTATCACATAAATGGTAACTTTAAAAATAAATAAATTTGTCCATGAGATTAGACTGAACTTCTGCAGAACAATGACATTTTACATCTTGTACCATGACTAAAAATTGAAGAAATTATTTATCAGCATGCTAGACTAAGCATAACTAATAACTGACGCACTGTATTTACCATTCTGTAATCCCATCCACAGTTGCTTATGATCCTTTTTTTGCATCTCATTGATGACTTGACTTTTGTGCTTTAAAGCATCTGCTTCTTTAATAGAAGCCATGAAATGAGCTTCAATCACATCCTTAGAATGGCAGTGTAGAAGATCCTTTTCTGGAAAATTCTACAAAGAGAAAAGATAGATCAAGAGAAATAAGTGCATCACACAGCTTAGAAGATGAAGAATAAATGATAATTATATCAGGTTTATATTTATACGAAATCAGCACACTGGAATCTTCTACTTATGAAAGAAGGTAACAACCATTCTCTCACTCTGCTAACAAGCAAGGTTTTGCAGTGACAAATGTGTCAGGAAAAATGAAAGTTGAACAATTATCTGTGAAACCAGAAATTGCTCTAAGTCACCCAACGTCAACTTGATAAATACATTTAAATACATCAGTGGATGCATTTAGGTCCTTACATCCAAAATTCAGGAAATTAAGAGTTTTAACATGTTTTCAAGCAGATGTTCAATTCTCTGGCAACAAACAGAAGAGGGGGAGAAGTAAATGAGAAACATCCAATTCCTACTGACTCCCAGTGCCAGTTTAGCACCCATTTCTATGCAGGCCTTTCAAAAATGTTTCCTGCAAGAACCATCTACTATAGCATATACGAATTATAGCATATTTATCATTTATAAACATTTTTCTCAAAGATACTGGAAATCCTTGTACACTCAAACTTTACCTAATACATGTGCCTTCTACCAGTTCATGTGACTTTATTGCATTCCAAATAAAACCCTTTTATTCGGTTAGAGTTGGCGTACTGCATTCAGCATTGCACATCCACAGTTACCACTCCTCATGTAACTTTCTTTCCCTCGGTAAATGAGAACTACCTTTCCCAACTTATTTATTAAGGAATTATGGTAATAAATCTTGTTCAAGTACAAAAAAAGATTTCTTTGGAAATTAACTAATCAGCAGTTCAGCATTCTATAGATATACCATTAGGGTTGTTATTCCCCTGATTTTTCTTCTATTGACACTTACTATCATTTGTCATTTTACAACACAAGCATTCACTACCACAAATTCATTGTCTTTAGTTTCCAAAGGTTTAAAAACCCAGCATGTTTTATCCCCTCCTTATTCACTTTCTCTTCACAGTTGCTTATCATTACGTTAAATGGTGCAAATCCCCAGAACCAAACCAAAGTGGCATCATTAGCCCTTCATAACAAGGGCTTGCCACATATTTTTATACTTTAATTCACATCTGTTATTCCACTAGAGGACCCTTCATCTTCACCCATTACAAATTGGCTATTTAAAAAAAGCTTTTGTAAGAGGGTGTCAAAACCACTTTGGAAATACAAGTATATATAACGGGATATTTTTCAAAGGCTTTTAAAACATAGTTAACATGTCACAGTAGGAGCAATATAATGCTGGAAAAACCCATACTCTCCCTCCTCCACATAAATCCAGGAAAAATAGTGAAGACTGCTTCAAACTACGGGAACTCAGAATATCCAAGAACAACTAACAGTTGCCAATACAAAAAGAAGCTGCAGATTGCCTTACCTGAAGGGAATTCTGAAGACAAGAAAGACAATTCCCCCCTCACCAGGTTATTGAAAAGAGTTGGAAATTCAATAATGGAATTTCAAATAGTGACTCCTCCTTATGACTGCGGACCCAGACTCTGGCAACTGTGGATCAAAAGGATAAGTATCTTCCAAAAACGGGAGTATAAAGGGAAGAGAAGACTGCTAATATCTTTTCCACTGAAGTATACACGGTTTGGTACTGAACTCGAAGTACTATTGTTACTTAGGACTGATGTAGACAGAGCTGACTAGAAATCTAAGGACAGAGATAGTTTGTTTCTCATGAGGATGGACAAGTATAAACACATTAAAGAGGACAGAGCAAAAAGGAAAGTTCTCCTTCTAGGGCAGACCTTGCTTCCTTGCTCCACTACAAAGCTGAAGTGCCTCAGCATAATTGGGCCCAAGATGAATGGAACACATTACTGGGATTGTTACTTGCCAGTTGACATCTGTATAGGCCTGTAAAATACTTTTAGAAGTTTAGCTTACTTGTTCAAATAAAAAAAGTCTGGTAACCAATCCAGAAGAACAGAACAGTCTGAAATAGCATACTTCAAGATCAAAAAAGTTCTTTACATGCAAGAATTCAAAGTGAGACACTGGCATCCCTCAAATGAAGATGAAACAGTGGAATGTACCTAATGCCGAGTAACACAGGAACCTCAAAACTGACTTTCACAGTTAAAAGCCAAAGTTATAGCTAAGTTTATGAAAACAACAGTTTTGTTACAACAACTGTTCTGTTACTTATATGTCTAAATATTGAACTGCAGGGTCTCTTTTTGGACATTCTACAGGTAGGTATCTCCCTGCTGACTTTGTTCCAATGAATTTCAAATTACAGGGAATGTCACTCCCTGGGGACATGTTCCAGAGAACGTACAGTGTGGTCTGCAGAATAGCAATATTTAAAAATGGTCAAAACTAGCTAAGTTGTTAGATGGAATCTAGCCACAGCAGTACAAAGGTGTGGCATGATTCATTTTCCCAACTTCTAAGGGATAAGACTGTGGAAGACTGGAAAACACTCCATCAATCTCAGTGCTGTCTACTCTTTTCTTTAGAGGAAAAACACTGACACATTTCTAATGCAGTACTGTGAGCAGAAGCTGAAAAACCTAAACATGGAAGTCATAACTTAGAACACAACACTGCTGCATCTACAAGAAGCATATTAAACAGCTTCCCCTGCATGAGACTACCAACAGAAAAGACGGCATCCCCATTGATTTATAAACTACGGTACAGAAAAATAAGTTTTACACTTAAATAAAGAACACATGCTTATATTTTCATTTCTTGTAAACAACTTTATTCAGTTCCCTGAAGAAAGAGACAATTGTAAACAAGCTGGTAGCCATCCCTGGCTATACAGCTATAAGATTTGCAGAAAGTTTTAACAGATCCCATAAGCAGCTTTTATTTAAAGTACTCATATTGGCAATGTCTTACTTGGTCTGTGTTCTGTATCTTTGAAAGAAAAGTTAGGGGTTGACTCTTGATTTTCTTAGAAAGCTCAAGTAGTACTGGTTTTGTTTCACATACCAGTAGACACTTGCAGCATAAACTTGGTCATAAAGAAGTAGGTATCATCTCTACAGACAGGAGCACTAAATGACCTCGCACATAAAACTGTTCCAAAAACATCACAGGTAATTTCAACAGTCTGGTTTCATAACTCCATTCCACCCACATTTATCTACAGTCCTAGTTCACAAAACATCTGTTTATACTATGACAGTCTAGCTGCATTAGACTATGTTTGCAGAAAATTATACCGACAATATGGCATTAAAAACCATAAGGAACATATCTAGTGGCAGAGGGAGCATCCATGTATTTGTGTTTAGTTACCATCAGTGGTCTTTTTTTCCAAAAAAGCTTAACTATAAGAACTCTCATTTATACTTCTGGCTTCCACAATTCATCCACATGCTACAAAGAAAAGCATTTCCTTTTTGCTCCACCTGACTCAATTTTTAGCTAAGAAAACCAAGACAGCTGTTGTCGTACAAAATCAGACTCAGTCACTCCTCGTCTACACCAGGTCATGGGTGGAGAGGCAGTCACCAGCAGATAAGGGCTTCAGCAGAGAGAGAACGTAACCCTTTCCCCTGGCACACCCAATTTCCTCTCCTGCTCCCATTTCCAGAGCAGTTCACCACCTCCTATCTACTGCTCAAAATCTGGAGAGCTGCTTACCATGCTGAGAACACGAATAGTGCTAAGCACGCCACAGAGTCGCATGAGATGAGATTAACAGGAAGGGATAGAGTTTCCCTCCTGCTCATAAAGCCACACCTGGGTAACAAAAGTAACTTCCCAGACCACAGCTTCTCATGATTCTCAGATCTTAGTACTCTGTTCAAGCTTGTCCTTCTACGACTACTTAAGGCAACTGTATTTCAACTTTACTAGAGATATAAATGTATGTTATTTTATTGCATACCAGAAGTACAAATGATTAAACTGTTTCTTAAATGCAAACAACAAGTGCATTTATTATTTGGTCTGCATACATAACACAGGAGGACAGCTATAAGCTTCTATCAATTTTCAAACTTCTGCTCAACAAAAATAAACATTTTTCATGTTTCTAATTTTAAACGAAGAAAACAGCTGGGAAGGTAAGAAGTTAAAAAACACTCTTTACAGATGTCCTTGAGATATCTGTTGCTGACTGCATGGTTTAGTAAAAGGAAGAAGAAAACCATGACAGCAAAAGTTAAACCCCAGAAAAATCTAATAGTGTTCAATTACACCAGATAAAAATTGTGGCTCTTTGAAGAATAACTACTCACAAATGAAAAGAACAATCCAGGCAGGAATCTCACACCTAAACTATTTAGCTGTAAGAAACTGTAACACATGAAAATGTCTTCAACATTTTGACATATTTTGATATATTTCAGTTATGTTTTGACTTCAAGGATTAAGAAGGGTTTATTTAAATAAACTTTCAGACTACATCAAAAACAGGAAAAGAGATTAAGCAGGTGCTTAATCCAAAGTGTTACATTTTAAAAAACTAAATTACATCAGCTTTTAAAATAATACTGCCTTAACAGTAAATTATTTCTGCTGATCTTTAATGTACACCTTTGAGACAAACAAATAAGCTAATCTTTTGGCAAGCAGCAATGTAAGGACATTAAAATCAGGTTACATTACTACATGAAATTGAAAAGCATAGTGGTGCTGCAACTTCTTTTCCAAGATGGTTCCACTTTGGGATGGCAACATCCAGACACTGCCACTGTTAATCTCCCAGAGCTCTCAGAATGCGTAACAATTAAATCATGGTTTATGGAAGTAGACATCCTACAGTTTCTTCAAAACACTCTGGAAGTTTCTTCATCCCAGCTCTCCCTGACATGTATCAGACAGAAGTGTAGCAATTACAATGGTTTCCAAAACATCCCCATCTTCACATTCAGCCAGTCATTTCAGAAGTTTCGACACACAGAAATACAGATCATAAGAATGTATGTTCGCAGTGCACACTTTCAAAAAGAATCAGACTACTCCTGTCATCAAAACCTTTTCTAAAATACCTTCAAGAAAAGAATTGTTTGAATGAAAATGTTCAATACAACTGCTTTCCAGTATGCTTTTCATTTCATCTCAAATCTCACACTCTAAAGTCAAGCCTCTTAACCTAGCGTGTTCCTTTAAATCAGTTTTCCTATTGCATTGTTTATTTCACAATGGAGAAATTAAAGTTTCAAAGAAATAACACGATTTCTAGTTGTGATTTTGACTTCAAAACATACATGGGATTACTGTCTCAACGCATTTCGTAGTATGAAAGAATCCTGTACGAAAGCCAACCCCGCACAAGTATTCTTCTGAGCAAAGATCAGTAGTGCTATGATGTCATACCTAATGGTTCTACAATGTGTAGTCAAAACAATGTCTCTCCTGTGAATAAGCTGTCACAAGACCAAGCTCATTTCACTCAGTTTTCTAAAGGAGACCCACATGAAGTACAACAGCATTCCCTGACTTCAAGGATCTCTATAGTATCTCATATCCATGCTCATGTGCCTAAAAGGATGAGCACTTCTCAGTCTTCCCAATCTTCAGTCAACTTCAGCTGACTGAACTAAAAGCATTATAGAAAGTTCTTCCCTTACACCCATTCAATTGCACTGACAGTGTCATAACTTATCTCGAAAAACAGTTTTGGATTTTCAGATTATGATAGAATCATTTTCAAAGGAAGGTCATTTGAAAGCACAATCTCATGGAAAACAGCTGCAGATTTACAGAAAACTTTAGATGATTCCTGAAGAATGAACATTGTCACCTTCCAGTCATACCATTCACTTCTTCATAAAATAATTATGAAACCTTCTCCTAGCTTCTAAATTTCTTGTAATCCCACGCTCACCTGTTCTTAATTAAGGGTGTATTTCAATTTTACCTTGAAATGCACCGTGATGCTCCAAGGAAGGGCTGTATTTGACGCATGGAGATCAAACAGCAAACCAATTGGGTAATGCCTAAAAATGAAGAGATATTAAATGAAAATAAAAGCTATGCATTTAACAGTATGTATAGAAGTTACATACCTACATTTACACACACAAAAAAAAAATTAGCTGTTTGACTCCAGCAATTAACATTTATTATTGCTTATTCAGAAAAGTTATACAGGCAGGTATAAATGACCAACAGTTTCTGGCAGAATCAAGTCTGGAATTTACAAGCTCTATATCTAAATCAGTGGTCTCCAAGCTGTGCCCACAAAGCACTGCTAGTTTTGCAACAGCCTAAGTGGCCTACAGCTGCTCTTTGGAATCCTTAAAAACAGTATTTTTAGTTAAAAAGCTTGATAACGGTAGGAATAGCTGGTCTGACTGATAAGTATACATGCTTCCAGATATTTAAACGCCATGGTTTTATACCACATCGACCCTTAGCATCTGTTCCCTCTCCCACCTGACTGATGTCACTGTAGAGAGTAAGTAGTAAAGTGAAAAAATGACATATCTGTAAAAGGGTTGAAAGAGGACAGATCAAGATGAACTCTGTACCTTTACTATCAAACTAAGAAAAATGGGAGAAAAAAATTAATTGGAGTTTGTATTTCGGTGGTATTCTGGATTAAAGGAGTTACACAAAGAATGTGCTTCCTCCAAATATTCACTTCTGTCTTACAGCTTTGTCTCCTTTAAATTAATTTGAACATACAGCCTCCAGCAATATAAGGAATATATATCACATACACAAAAATTCCACAGTAATGCTAGATAGGTCTTTGCAATTTTCCCACTTGCAGACACTGGTAAAGTTTTTTCAAAAACTTTTTTTTTTTTTTTGCATTCAGCATACCAAGCTCTATTTTCTTATCTTTCAAAAAAACTAAAAAGAACTAAAAGAGCCTTACTAGCTTTTCATCCTACAAAGGGATAACCACACACTTAACCGCAAACTCAGTAGCTTCACGGAATTAATGGGACTGATCACAGGACGCAGAGCCAGGCACGTACATACGTTCTGCAAGTCCACAAAGCAATAACCGAGAGCCTTGCTCTAAAAGCACCTGTGCCAAGCCGATTTCCTGACCTGCTAAACTCTCACACAGCAGTGCTTTAGCACCCTCTACGGGTGAGCTAACCCCAAAGTGAAGAAAATCACAACAGCAAAATAGAAAAACAAAACAGTACTACAATTCTTGAACTTACCTGTTGCATTTGTAACTTCTTAAAAGGAAGAATAAGGGGAACTAAAATATCTAGAACTGTGTTTTCCTGACAAAGGGAATAAAGAATATAAATAATGCGTATCCAGATTTATCCAGATTCACTGCTAATGCTCAAGTTTTTACCACTAAGATTTCTTTATTACTAACTGCCAAACCCATCTTGCAAGACATTCAGCAAGAGTTCCATGAAAAAGTGGTTTTCCAAGTGAGCTAAGTAATGAAAATCAGATTTCCTTTGATAATCAGACAAACATGAACAATGACTTTCAATTACTTTCAATTTATATAACAAAATAGATAGCTACCAAAAAAAAAAAGCATCAGTTCTTGGCCTGCCTCTGTATTTTCTACCCAGTGTAGATTACAAAATAAAGTCTATATACTCATGCTTTCTTCAGTAAAATCCTTGTGCTTTACACAGTTGATATGGGGTTTTTTTATTTTGAAAGAGGCCAGCCCAAAATTCACTTTGGTCCACAGCAGAACACATGAGTTTAACGAAGACAGTAGACCATAAGACAAATCATTTTTTATTCAGAAGCGCAGCTTTCCATTAAGAGTACAGTTCACAGCAGGTTCAGCGGGAATAAAGCAATCCTGAGATATAAGACAAGTCCTGCTTCAAATTCCAGTTGTCAGACACTGGCATTTAATCTGAAGCCAATAAAAGCCTTAAGTAATGCCTGCACATAATGCTGTATTTCGCTTATTTTTGAGATACAGTTCCCAGCATTTTTAAGAGCCTGGAAACAACAGCACTCCATATAACAATACCAAAACTATTCTTTGTATTCCCTTCTTAATAAAACCCGTTTTTTTTTTAACCAGGCTAGAGAATTAAGGAGATATCAAGAGAGAAGTTGATAAGAAAACAGGACCCGCCAATCTGTACACGGAATGAAAAAACCCTGCCATTCCCTCACTCCATTCTTAAGCACATATCTACCACCTTGTGCTATGAGTCAGTATTCCCTCACTAAAGATCTTGCTTTCAGTGGCACTGCTGCAATGCTGTTTCTGAACTTCTGTTTGAAAAATAGGCATTACAATTAAAGCAATACACAAATGCTCTCTAGAACCTACAGTAACCAGGAGAATTAAAAAAAAAGCAATCAAAAAACCCAGAGGACCTTTTAAAGACTTACCCCCCAAAAAAAAGAATAGAGAAGAACCAACAGAACAAAAACTAATGGAAACCTCCAGTCCAGAAAGATCTCATTCTGAAAAAATATTATTAGATTGTTGAAATAAAATTGGTCTTAACTAGAGTGGGAACCAAGGCTAGACAGACTGTGTGGAACTTTCTCAAAGGAAATAATGGGAAAAATATCAAAGAGAAAAACGTCTTAGAGACCACAAATCTTTTTTTACAAGTTGCTAGAATAATGATGAGCTCTGGAAAGTCTTCAATCTATAAAAATGTAACAGCACCTTGACTTTCAGCCATTGTCAATTTATTACTGCTTTTATTATTATACAGAAGGTGGTTTCAGAGTGCAAGAGAAGTCCTGGAGAACACCACATTAAGTACTTAAATTCCTTTTGAAAGTCACAGATGGACAGTAAGGAAAATTAATTACTACTTTTCTAACAATACTTTTCTGAACCCAGGACAGAAAGTGACAGCATGAGCTCATAGGCTGTTTTCAGATCAGAATAATTCACTGCGGTAATTCAGTAAGACATGTCACACGAACTGATAAATCTACTACAAAAAAAATCCTATACTCCAGAACTCTTTGGGGTACTAAGTATATCAAGTGGCCAAAATCTGGTGTTTAGTTATTTCTATGAACCAATGTCTCATTGAGGGATATTTTGGCTGCATCAGAAAATAGTCTTACCTTTTCCTTTAGTATTCAGCAAGAAATAAATTTTTCTTAGACCTTTTAAGCAAAGTCTAGCGTTTTCAAACAGTATGTCAGCTATGCCTGATCCAATGATGCTTTGACCTTTTCTCTTCCACTGACTCCTGATTAAGAACAATCAAGCATTCATCCAGTTTGTACTAGAGAGACACCTATGCAACTACCAGTTCTAGAGCACAATCCACATAAAGGGGACAGAAACACTGCTGAAGGCTACGTGCAAGTGCTCAGACAAGATGGTAACAAGCTACAGGGTGTCATCTCTTAGCATCTGCTGAAGAAACCACCGCTGGCACCTCAGAGGCCTTCACTTGGGCAGAGCTCCTGAGAGAGGATGCAGCTTTCCAGGTGTCAAGCTGCCAGGAGAGCTTGGGACCTCTACTGAGGGCTGGGGCGAGCAGAGGCAGTGTCCCTGCCTGGAGGAGCTGTGTGTTAGCGGAGGAGCTGTGTCACCAGGTTGAGCTGCAGGAGGTCAGTGGGCTACACTGCATTAAGGAAGATAAAGAAAGATTGATGGCATCATCACTGAGACCTTGCAGAGACAAGAGCCTGAATTCCCAGCTGCACAGAAAGAGGGTCTGCAGTGGCTGGAGTGGTGAATGGAGACTCGCAAGATGGGCAAGACCAGAGCCTTGCAACCTCTGACAGGAGAAGACAGGCTCCTTCTCCACCTGCCGTCAGTGCCTCGATGGCAGACAAGGGGCTTGGCAGGTCTGAGGAAGCATCAGAGCATCCTGAACAGCACATCCACATCAAGAGGAATCAGTCACAGCAGTAGCAGACTCCCTCCTACAGGGGACAGAGCCCTCCACCATCTGCCAATCTCACTCGCTACCCGCGGAGGTTTGCCGCTTGTTAAGAAGCTGCAGACAGACTGGAAAGGTTTGTCCCCTGCTTGGATTATGAGCCCGTGCTGTTCAACCACATCAGCACATAAGGGGAACATTTGAGTGTATCAAGAGCGACTTTACAGCTCCAGGGGCAAGGTGACATCTCCACAATTTTTGCCATTGAAGGAGAAAGGCTCAGACAGGCATGAATGCCGGTCAACAACTGCAGGTCAATAACTGGTGGTGTAGCTGGTGTGACAACAGGAACTTGGCTTTTACAGTCACAGGGAACTCTTTGGAGACGAAGGACTGCTACGGAGAGACGAAGCCACCTAAGTGGGGCAAAAGTATCTTTGCCTTCAGGTTGGCCAGCCTGATGAGGGGAGCTTTATAACATAAACAGGGGTGTGAATAACAAGACACAGATAGGTATAAATTAATGGACATGGGTGGAAAGCAAGTAGTGAAAGGTGACAGCTACAAGAGAGATCTGGAAACGACAGAAGAGCATAGAACAGAGTCTACCACAAAGCATATGTACATAAATGCACACAGCTTGAGAAACAAGCAGGAGAAACTAGAGCTCCACATACAGTGACATAACTGTGACAGTGTTGGGCTACCTGAGGTATGGTGAGACAACCTGCACAACTGGAATGCTATTGCGGATCGATGGACGCAAGCTGCTCAGGAAAGACAGGCAGGGCAGATGCGGTAAGAGGGTTGTCTTCTATGTGAGAGAGCAGCTCAGATGTCTGAAACTGAGATAGACAATGGGTTGGTTGAGATCTTGTGGTTCAGGATCAGACGAGAGACTAGCAAGGGCTATAGCATGGTGAGAGTTTGTTGCAGATGCTCAGCTAGCTCAGACACATTATCAGACAGAGCTTTCAGTCCCTCACCTGCAACCAGAGCACTGAATCCATCCTGTACTTACAGAACTGCAGGTGGAGAATGAGCCTTCCTCCTGTTGCCAGAAGTCACAGGCTTCCAGCTCTTCCATATCTTAGGAGACTATTTTCCAATCCAATAATCACAGACTCTGCCTTCATCTCCTTCAATGTAGTTGTAGGTTTAGGCTTCTGTAGCTGCAGGGTCTCAAGGAAGATTTGATCCATTTCCTTCTGTAGTCTCTGTCACTGCACAGTCTGATGACCTATTCCTGCTCCATAACTGGGTGACACAGACCCTCCCCCAGCACACACCTCGTGCAGGAAAGGAGACCATCTTCCCTGGCCCCAACAACTTCAGTGGGAAGCCCCAGGCGCTCTCCAGACCTGGAGAGCTCCATCCTCCTTCAGGAGCTTGGTCTGAGTGCTGCAGACCATGAAGTTCAAACTACATTTCAAACTTCCTCCAAAATCTCACTGAAAAACAGAAGAGCTGCAGCTGAAAGGAGATAAACTACATCCCAATCATGTATGAAACCACACAGACTGTAAGAAATCTGACCTCACAGTGCAAAGTAAATAATTTGAATAAGCAATATTACTAGCAAGTTCCATTTGATTCTGAATGCAGAAGTTACACTTAAAAAGACTAAACATTAATGCTCCCTATTCTTTCTCTGCAAACTACCAGCTCAGCCTAATTCTCATTTCTGGTATTTGAGTCTTCCCTGGAACAAGCTTCAGCTGTTTAGGGGATTACCATTCTCCTGCAACAATGATTTGCAGATAGCATTTTCCTTAGAAAAGCAATTCCACTGAAAACAGTGGAGCTGTTCCTGGCAGAATGTGCTTAGATTTTCTGAAACATCAGAGCCTTAATTTGCAGATCATAATTAGACTACTGATCTTCGTTTCAATGTTCCATCAGTTTAGTAACTCTTCACTTAATTTTAGAATGAAAAATTATATTTTTAGTCTATATCTATATTCTATAATTTATTTTTTCTTAATTCTAGTTTAAACACCATGGTTTTTGAAAACTTAACAGAAAATACAGATCTGTTTTTGGCTGAAGTAAAACGCCTCTCTTTCCTTTCTTGTTACAATTTCAGTGAAAACTCATAGTTTCCTCCCATTATCTACCTAAGATTATGAACATACTGGGACAAACTTGGTACCCTGCTGTTTATTTAGACAGTCTCCATCATGACTCAAGGTCACTACTGCACACCAAGAAACCAACTACTGTTCAATTCCAGATAATTTAAATAGATGTATAAAGCTGGTTTTGCCAGTCAATTTTGAAAAATTTAAAAAAGCTAGTTTTTACACTTTTCTATTTAAATATTTTCAAGATTTACACTAGGTTTGTCTCAAAGAAACAAAAGACCAGAAGCGATCTACTGCATCACCAAGTCTAAAGGGACTCCATGATGTGATGCTTGCTAATCACAAGACAATCCAGGTTCAAGAAGCTAAAACAGTCACTGGTAGTGTTCTTTCCTATTACTATACAGGAAATGAGATATAAAATCTCTTCAGCATTCAAACTACTGAATACTTTCTGGAGAGCTGATGCTATCTATACAAAGCTTGCAAACGTTGCAGCTCTCAAAATGTTTCTTTAAAGCTCTTCGAGGTAGAAATAGAAAGAAACAAAATCTGACGAATAGTATTTATGAAAACTAAGTAAATGAAACAATGACAGTCTGATTCTTCAACCTCTCAGAAAAAAAAGGATACTTTTAACAGACCATATGACAGAACAAATTAGAATCAACAGCAATCAGTTCAAGAAAATTGACTAACTGAACTCAGCCAGAGCCTGTACATCAGTATTAGATTACCTGTCTTACAGCGCAAGCATGTGTCACACCAGTGAAGTGAAAGTTACACACGTTTTATTAACTTTAAGCATATATCCTATTTGCATTCAGACTCCAGAAAGAATACTTCCAATCTGCGTTATTAGGCATCTTTTAAAAAGGTAGAATAAGCTAAAAGAAAATTTATTTGGTGATACCACTGCAAGATATGATAAAGCCAAAACCACAGGCATTTTGTATTACAGTAACTAGCACAAAAACAATAGGTGCAGCACAACCTCTGCCTTATACATATAGTAAATACATGCATAATAATAAAAAAATATGTTCAACATTAAACTTTCTTCCATTTTTCCAAAACAACGTGCTTCTCTTACCCTCCTCCTCTTTTGCCATCTTTGAAACCCAATGGAGTGGTTAGTTTAGGAAAAGTACTGACACTATGCTGAACTTGATAACTCTTTACATGATAAATTAAGTAAAAGGTACAAAGTTAAATAAACTCACCATTTCAGTGGTGTACCTTCATATTCAAACCATATTTCACTAACTTCCTCTTGTCTCATAACTTTCTGAAAATGTTTCTTCACTTTGTCTGTTACCAGAGTCAAGTAACTTATCCTTGGCAAAAGCAACTGAAAGAAAAATCATAGCAGCTTTAGCTATACATAAAATTTACTAAATTAATAAAAATTTGTAACAAGTATGCATTTTCATTACCAAAATTCTGTCAGCATTCTTTTTTTCCCCCTCTTTAAGGTAATATGTCTTTTAGACAGTTTACTTATTAATGGTCAATGAAAGGCTATAAAACTATATATTCAGAAGATGCAGAATAGCAGTATCCAATACATTAACACAAATAAAAACAGTAAAAACAAAATTCTTGATTCTGATTCTTGATCCTTGATGTGACGGGAAGGAGAAGAATGAAATTTAATTTCTGCTTTTCTGTATTTAAACAGGCCAAAGAATTAAGTTTTTTCTCTTTTTCATATCAACAGATTGGAACATGCTCTAACTTCTTATTGAATATAATGAGAAACTGTGTATCAGCTATTATTTTAAAATGGAAATTCTGACAAAATGAAAAAAAAAAGAAAGCTATCTGCTTAAGGGTTTGGTTTCCAAGTGCATTTTGTACTAACAATAGTGGGCAATTTCCATTTTTTTTGCACTGGGTTTGCCAATTGAACATGTTAGTCAAGGCGACTATGATTCTTCCACTATTTAACATTGGCCCAGATACTAAAATCAGAAAGAAAACTTTCAATATTTTATCAGTTGAAACAAGACACCTTCTTACAGCTTTCTGATACACTATCTTTCTTTCTCAAGTGTAATGTTACGCACTGAAATAGAATGCCATATTATTTTTATTTGCACACATTCCCTCCCCCCCCCCCTTTTTTTTTTTTTTTAAAGGTCTCACTCCTAGTAAGAGTAGTTAAGCAGACTGCATCAATCAGTGCACTGACTGATGACTGCATAACAGGTTTACTTAAGATGAATCAGCCCATAAGCTTTAATGAACAATACCTTTCAGTATCCCAACGAGAAAAGACTAACCTCCCTGTAAAATAACATTTAGCTTTGGAGCAGATATTTTAAATTAACTGTAATCCTAGAATCATAGAATGGTTTGGGTTGGAAGGGACCTTTAAAGGTCATCTAGCTCAACCCCCCTGCAACGAGCACGGACATCTTCAACTAGATCAGGTTGCTCAGAGCCCCGTCCAACCTGACCTTGAATGTTTCCAGAGATGGGGCATCTGGGCAATCCATTCCACTGCGTCACCACTCTCATAGTAAAGAATGTCTTTCTTGTATCTAATCTAAACCTACCCTCTTTCAGTTTAAACACATTACTCTTTGTCCTATCACTACATGGCCTTGTCAAAAGTCCCTCTCCATCTTTCTTTATAGGCCCCTTCAGGTACTGGAAGGCTGCTACAAGGTCTTCCCAGAGCCTTGTCTTCTCCGGACCGAACAACCCCAACTCTCTCAGCCTTCCCTCACAGGAGAGGTGCTCCATCCCTCTGATCATTTCCGTGGCCTTCCTCTGGACCCGCTCCAACAGTTCCATGTCTTTCCTGTGCTGAGGGCTCCAGAGCTGGACACAGGACGCCAGGTGGGGTCTCACCAGCGCAGAGGGGCAGAATCACCTCCCCTGACCTGCTGCACACTTCTCTTGATGCAGCCCAGGATACGGTTGGCCTTCTGGGCCGCGAGCACATTGCCAGGTCATATCCAGCTTTTCATCCACCTGTACTCCCAATATTAATCCCATAAACTTACTTTCATTTCCTAATTACTAATAAAATAGATGAGTCTAAGTAATATATAGAAATATACTATATTTTGCACATTTAGAGAAAGATAAACATTTGTTTTCCAGTGTTCCTCATAACCACTGTTGTTTCTTAAAATATTTTCTTTACAGTATATGCATAATGCTAGGCCTTAAGTGAAAGTCTATGGTACAGACATCCTAAACTATGTAAGGATATATCTTGCCTGGCAGAAAACTTGATCTCTGCTGCAGCATTATTCCACAATGTCTCCAACAACTAGACCACACTTTAATGTATAAATTAGGTAATATTTTGGCCATCATACTAGAATTTATTTTTACGTATCAGATTCACGAAGAAGTATGCACAGTAAATCAAGAGTAAGTTCTTTTGAAAGAAAATAGGTTTCTCTTTTAGATAATGCTGCATTAGGTTATTAATTTACATACACCTGTGAAAACTAAATTTTAAGATTATATAAGACTGCAAAAGATCAAGACTCACCACCATTAGTCATCAAGTCAGTTAGCACTTGATCTTTTATGTACCATATGGTTTTCTTTTTCCATCTGTTGCTCTTACTACCATCATCATATTGTTTCAACCTTCTTTCATAGGATTCTAATTCAGCAAGGTAATTAAACACAGCCTTCATTTTTAAAAGGTGAACATTCTTAATAAATTCAATGAAGTCATGTACACACTCAAGCAAGAACTGTTTTGTACCACAGTGACCTGAATGACAATATAATCTTATCGTTTATTAACCTAATTCCACACATCTGCATTGATTGTTCTTGAGACAATATAGTCCAGGCTATTCCAATCAAACCCAAATATTTTTGGTAATAATTCCATATTATTTCAGTGAGACATTTGCAGTTAAATTAATGCTGGTATATTCTGATATGAGGCCCATTTGGACTGCTACAAAAACCAGTTTTCAGCACGCTGCATGTGGCACAGCCATGCAGGAATTGACAAACCTGTTAAAGCATTGTTGATTGCAACAGTATTTGACATAACCCTTTAAACTGCATAACTAACTTCCTATGTAAAATATTTTACTTCAGTTTGTAGTGTGGAAGAACAACGCAGTTTCTATTTCAACATAATTAGAGATCACAGACAATAACCAAACAGCATTTGACCGAATTTAACAGAACATCACCAGCACTCCCAATGGGCCTCTCTGGAGTACAAAATCCAACAGTTAATTAGGTTAACAGGGACTGCCTGTTTTTCAGAGATGCTGAGCATTTGCAGCACCTACTGAACTCTTTTCTCAGCCTTCCCACCTCTTCTAACTTGCTACAGTCTTCCTCTTCCATGGGAGACATTAAAGGACCCAATTCTACCACTTTTCTAGCTTTAATTATCCTAGAGATTTACAAGTATACTAAATCTATTGAGACCTTTAAAAGCATAGTTCAAGGACATTTTCATTTTGTTATCCCTTTTAATATCCCTTCTCCACCAGTTGCCTACACTAAGTGAAAGATTTCAGTTGACACAAAACATTTTTATTCCGAAGTCCTGGAATTCTTAAACGCTATTTCTGAGTATTTCCAGAGAAGTACTAAAACATATTTAGGAAAAAAAAAAACTTTAATGTATTTAACTGAATGCTGGGCTTTAGTCAATCTCTCTGACAGCAGAATCACAGTAACTGTTTACAGAGTCCTCTACATGAAAACCAGAAATCTACACAGCAATTCATCTTCTAGACTATCAGACACTCACAAGCTTCTCCAACACTTTAGCCATGTGGCAAGCAGCCTTCCTTTTAGGCAAAGACGTGTTCATCAGAATGACAGCTCTCCCACAAACACTTTGGCTACTGACTCCGAAATCAGTCTGTGCAGGACAATGAGGCTATACCCTTTCACCCTTTAGTCACCATACAGCAACATTCCAGATGCTGGGAATGAACAGCCATGATTCAGTGATTCTTGGGTTTAGGGCTGTAATATCTAATTAAGAAAAAAACACATGCTCATATGACAAGACATACTAATCAAAGTTAAACTCATTCTACCAGGACAGATTTGCTCAATTGCTCTCCCTCTCTGCTTTTTTTTTCCTTTGGACAAATTAACCTTCTATCAGCAGACTTTGTGCTAAAGGTTAGAACATTGCTGTGACAATCAAACACATCTAACCAATGCAGCAATGCATGTAATGTAACAACTGCAATCTGAATGTAGGACTGGTAAATCGTAGAATAACTTGTAAGCAGGATCACAGCCTTGGACTTCAGGAAAGCTAACTTTGGCCTCTTCAAGGACCTACACTGAGGAATCCCATAGGTTAGGGCTTTAGAAGGTAAGAGGGTCCAAGAGAACTGGTCACTATTTAAGCATCACTTCCTCCATGCTGAAGATCAGTACATCCCCATGAGTAAGAAATCAAGCAAAGGAGGCAGGATACCTCCATGGATGAAGCAAGGAGCTTCTATCAAAACTCAAATGGAAGAGAAACGTCTACAGAATGTGGAAAAGGGGACAGGCCACTTGGGAGGAATACAGGCACTTTGTCAGAGCATGCAGGGAAGCAACAAGCAAGGCTAAGGTCCACCTGGAATTCAATCTGACAAGGGATGTCAAAGACAACAAGAAGTGCTTCTTCAAGTACATTAGCAGCAAACGGGATACTAGGGAAAATGTGGAGCTGCTGCTGAATGAGGTGGGTGCCCTGGTGATGGAGGATACAGAGAAGGCAGAGTCACTGAATGCCTTCTTTGCTTCAGTCTTTACTGCCAAGGCTGGACCTCAGGCACCCCAGAGAAAGCCTGGAGAAAGGAAGACTTTCCTTTGGTCAAGGAGGATCGGGTTAGAGGTTTAAGCAAATTGCACACCCACAAATCCTTGGGCCCCAAAGGGAAGCACCCATGAGTGCTGAGGGAGCTGGCAGATGTCACTCTCCATCATCTTTTAAAGGTCCTGGAGAACAGGAGAAGTACCTCAGGACTGAAGGAAAGCCAATGTCACTCCAGTCATCAGAAAGGGCAAGAAGCAGGATGCAGGGAACTACAGACCGGGCAGCCTCACCTCCATCCCTGGAATGGTGATGGAACAGCTCATTCTGGATGTCATCACTAAGGAACTGGAGGCAAAGAAGGTTATCAGTAGTAGTCAGCATGGATTCACCAAAGGGAAACCATGCTCAACCAATCTGATAGCCTTCTGTGATGGCATGACTAGCTGGGTAGATGAGGGGAGAGCAGTGGATGTCGTCTACCTTGACTTCAGCAAGGCTTTTGATACTATCTCCCATAACACCCTCACTGAGAAGCTCAGGAAGTGTGGGCTAGATGAGTAGACAGTGAGGTGGATTAAGAA